AGAGGCGTCATGGATTTCATGAGCTCTTACTGGCCTGAGGCTGCTGTATCAGAGGTGGGATGAGGCAGTGGGTTTGATGAAAGCTTTAGAGTAGATAGAGCCTGCACTTAGCACACACAAGTCCAAGCCTTAAGATTGAAGATGTTGCAGATCATGTTAAGGAACCATAGGACCATCAAGTTACTTGCTCAAAATCTTATTCCTCTGAAGTGGCAGAGCTGAGGCCAGATCTGAGGCTGTCAGGTTTCTTTTCCTACCAGCAGGTCTGACTGAAGGAGCTCCATTCACACTGGCATCTTATCCCTGCTAACCAGCTCTGTACCCATTTCTTGTCTTTCTTAACTGCCTGCCTTCTTTCCTTTCTCCTTCTACAGAGTGGCAATTCCCATAACCAAGACCAGCACAGATAGCACAAGGCCTGCATTTGGGGGAGGGAGAGGGAGGAGGAGTGTGGGGAAGTAGGTAGGCTGGATTAAAGCAAGTTGGAGGAACGGGCTTAAAGGATGCCAGGACAGCCCTGTGCTCCCTGGGAAAGTGGAGGCAGAGTGGGGTCTTGTTCATACCAGGCCTCCTGCCTCAGAGCATGGGAGAGCCAAGAGAAAAGCTGACACCAGTAGGTCATGAGGATGCCACTTGTTTAGATTTCAAGTGTGTTCCGTTGCACGCCTCACGTAGGACAAGTTGGCTGCCTGTGCTTGGAGTCTGCGCCTCATCTGGCGGATTTTCCCCAGGCAGAAGGGTCACTGGATTGATTCATGTGCCTGGGTGGAGGCAGCGTGGCCTCTTTTAAAAACTATTTGAACACTTTGAACTTGCTATTGCAAACTAATGCCAGAAGAATGGCATTTGCAAGGCCTGGTGACCTTGAGAGAAACTCTGATGTCCTTATGAAAAAAGTGTTTTGCTCTGAAGCCAGAGAGGCTGGGTTCTGGCAAAAGAGGCAAGCACAGCCCTGTTTTCTCCACATGCACCATGCATCTGAAGGGGCCTCCAACTGGAAAGCCACCTGCTAGGTGTCTTATAAAGACCTCTGCCATATTGTGAGACCTTCATTGTCAAAGTTTACAAATGTCTGTCCATATGTCTCCCCCCCGCCCGCCCCCCACCCCCAACTGGAGAGATGGCTCAGCAGTTAAGAGCACTGAGGCAGCTCTTGCAGTGTGCCTGGATTTGGTTCCCAGCATCCACACAGTGGCTAACAGCCATCCATAACTCTGGCCTCTGCAGGCATCACACACATGGTACACTTACCTACATGCAGGCAAAACACTCATACACATAAAATTGTATCCCCAGCTGTCCTGGAACTCACTATGTAGACCAGGCTGGCCTCGAACTCATAAAGATCTGCCTGCCTCTGCCTCCCAAGTGCTGGGATTAAAGGCATGCGCCACCACGCCTGGAAATAAAATATTTTTAAAAAGAAACAAAATAAGCTTTGCTCATGCTTCCTTCTTCTGAAACTTGTTTGTCCTAGGATATAAGACTTTTAAAAAAATTAAATTTGTGTGTGTGTGTGTGTGTGTGTGTGTGCGCGCGCGCACAAGTGCACATGTGCCAAGGCACAAGAGTGATCAGAGGACAACTTGCTGGAGTTGGTTCTCTCCTCCTTCTGTAGGTTTGGGGGATGGAACCCAGGCTGTCAGGCTTGTGCAGCAAGTGCTTATATCCATTGAGCCATCTTGCCAGCCTGGATATAAGAGTTTTAAAGACCAAGAAACCCCTTGAGGATGTGTGGTAGAAATTTGCACAGGGGCAGGGATCTAATATATAGCTCTGTCCTTTCTCCTGTCTTCTCTCTGTAGCTACAGGTACCTGTAATATGACTGCCGGGTTTCTAGACTGCAGTCACTGGAGTGCTTTGTTTATGCTTGTGACCAAGCAGACAGTATAGTAAAGCCAGGCCCAGAGAGGAATATCTGACCACATGACTTAAGTTTCCATTGGCAGCAGCCTGCGCCATGGGCAGGGTCAGCCTGAGCAGTCACAAATACAGTCCTGTGGTTTGAGTTTCTTTGCTGAGCAGGGCTTTTCCCCTCATAACTTTGAGCTTGTTGAAGATAGGAAAAGTGTCTTCCTCATCTCTGTGTCCTGTTTACCCAACACAGTGTTTGGCACAGACTGATTCTAGTAAATGAAGTGTTGATAGCCAGATATGACAGATGATGTGCATATAGGTTTTATCATATGTATTAGCTGAGGTTATGGTTGACTGGTAGGGTGTTTCATAGTTTTATAGTGTGTGTCTGTGTGTGTGGTGTACACGTGTGTACAAGTTCATGTGTATGCCTATGCATGTGGAGGCCAGAGGTTGGCATTAGATGTCTTCCTCAGTTACTCTCCACCTTATTTTTTGAGATGGCCTCTCACTGAACCTGGAACTCAGTTCAGCTAGGCTGGCTATCCAGCAAGCCTCAGGGATCCTCCTGTCACCATCCAGTCCTGTGTGTTGTGACACCCCTCCACTCCATTGCTGGAGTTACAGATGTGTACCACCCATGCCTAGCTTTTTATGTGGGTCCTGGATATCTAAACTTAGGTCCTCATGGTTTCATAACAAGCACACTACTGACTGAGCCATCTCGCTAACCCCCTTCCCCTTTTTTTGAGAAAGATCCTTACTCTATAGCCTAGGTTGACCTGGACCTCACTATGTAGTCCAGGCTGGCCTTGAACTCAAAGAAGTCTTCCTGCCCCAGCTTCCTAAGTATTGAGACTACAGATATAGTCACCAGGCCTGGTTGGTATTTTATATCTTAAATATGAAAAAAAATTTTAAGTGTTCACCTCCATCCTTATCCACTGATGCTATGAATAGAATTTGGCAAACTGCTAGAGGGTTACTCATCAGTGCCCTTTATGTAGCTGTCCCTTGTTAGGGACAGTGTGAGTCTTGCATCAAGTCAGATTTCTTTCTTTTCTTTCTTTTTTTTTTTTTTCTTTTGTGTTTCTGAGACAGGGTTTCCCTGTAGCCCCAGCTGGCTTGGATCTCACTATGTAGATCAGGCTGGCCTTGAACTCACAGAGATCTGCCTGCCTCTGCCTCCCAAATGCTGGGACTAAAGGCATGCACCACCATGCCCAGCCAAGTCAGATTTCTTAAGAGATCATTCAATAAGTAAAAGAAAGTGATCTAGTAAATTGAAATTGGACTAGGTCACCTGATCAGGTTGCCCTCTTTTCTCAGGAATGAAGAATTTAAGAAGGTTTTGTGGATTTTATTTGTTTAATTTATTTATTTATTCTCTTAGGCTTTGTTGGTTTGGTTGGTTGTTTTCGTTTGTTTGTTCCTTTGTATGAGACAGGGTCTTGTGTAGCCCAGGATGGCCTTGAACTTGTTATATAACTTAGGATGACCTTGAACTGTTCTTTCAGCCTCTACCTCTTAAATACTGAGATTATAGGTGTGCACCACCACTCTGGGTTTATGTGGTGATAGGATTGAACCTACAGTTTCGTGCATGATTGGCAAGCATTCTACAAACCAAGCTATGTTCTTGTTTTGTTTTCAAACCATCTTTTGAATCTTTCTGTTAATAACCTTGGAGAGTTTGGAAGGGAGATGGGAATGACTGAATAGATGGTAATCCTAGAGTCCTGTTTGCATTCAGTATTCCTGGAAGTTTCACAAAAATAGTGATTTTATGTACTGCTAATCATAGATTTATCACCTTACTATAAGCTGAGTTTACATGAACTATTTCTCCTTGGACACAGAATGAAGCACCCCTTTCCTGTCCTGTCTAAAGGGAGCCTTGCTCTTTATCATATGGCTTTGTGTATCCTGCTCCCAATAAATAAACAAACATTTGCTTTTCTAAACTCTGCTATGGTCGTGTGTTGTTTTTTTTTAATCTTTTTATCTTGTTTCCTTCATGGAACATTGGCACAATTAGGGGACCAACAAGCAGATGACTTGAGGAGGGGATGTGTGAGGAGAAGGTGGTTCCTAAAAGCTGTAGTTTAATGGGCTCCATTGCCTCTTAATTTTGTAGGATAAGGAAGCCTGTGTGGGTACCAACAATCAAAGCTACATCTGTGACACAGGACACTGCTGTGGACAGTCTCAGTGCTGCAACTACTACTATGAACTCTGGTGTAAGTCCTTGCCCTGGGGGTTCTTGGCATCCCAGGGCCCCGGTTACTGCCTCTGCTCCTTGGGAAACCGCGGGCTGGCCAGCCTTTTCTGATTCTCTTGGGGACAGTGTTGGTGAGTAGAATCTGGGTTCGGGTCCGGAAGTGATTCTTTTATAGAGGAGGAGGGTTTGGGTACCCTCTGGGCATTGTGGGCTAAAGACTGGGGAAGGTGGTCCGAACCTCTTTGGAGGCCAAGGTTGCCAGTTGTTGTCAGTGTTTCTGCCTGGGGTTTCCCTTGATCCCCTCTCCTCTATGTGCTGAGCAGCCCAGAAGCCCACGTTTGACCTCCTTGCTAAATGAAGTTGCCTGACTGAGCTATATGGGGTCCTAATGCTATTTTATTGTAGGAACCATTGGGGCTTCCAGAATGACCCAGGGTGCCTCATGGGGGCAGCTTCTGATGGTGCCTTGGAGCAGTGTCTTCCTCTTGGCCCTGCCTGTGGAGTTGTCTATAGGGGGAGTTCTGAGGCTTAGCCCCTTTTTCTTTCACAGTTCTCAGTTGAAAGCATCTGGAAGCTTCTCCAGTGTATATAGTTTCTTGTTATAAGCCACATACCAGGGGTTGGAGAGATGGCTCAGTGGTTAAGAACACTGACTGTTCTTAGAGAAGACCCGGGTTTGAATCCCAGCACCCACATGGCAGCTAACACCTGTCCATAACTCCAGTTCCAGGGGATTCAACAGCCTCTTCTGTCCTCTTCGGACATTGCATGGGTGTACTCACTTACATGTAGACATAACACTCATACACAAAATAAAAATAATAAATAAAATGTCACATACCATGTAGACAATCCTCCTCTTGCCAACAAGTGTGGTTGAAGCTGGGACTACTTGCTTCTTCTCCAAGCTCACAGTGGTGGTGACATTGTTGTGGTCTTCAGTGAGTGACTAGGGTAGCTCTAACACTCACTCTTTGGAATTCAGATGAGATGGCATTGGCTGCTGAATAGAGTGGGATGATGGAAGGAGTCCTTAGAGCAGAATGGTCCCAGGTGACTAACACTGCAGTGGTCCTCATAGCTGTCTCAAGAGGGGCAACTGTGGACTCGTCCCCTCACCCCCCTACCCCCAGATGATTCTGATCCCTTGTTGCTGCCTATATACATTGGGTTAGTTTATCAAACTGTACCCTTATTCCCACTGTCACCTTGTCCCCATTTTCTTTTCTCTTTCAGTGATATGGTAAGAAACAGCTAAGACTAGTATTTGATCTGGCAAGGAAACTGGAATCGTGACTGGGAAGTCTTTCCCTGTGAAATGTACCAGCATGGTTGGATCCTTCCAACAGGACCACCTCTTCACCCTCTCCCTTCCCTTCTTCCAGGACAGAAGCTTCCTTTCTACTCTTTGGAGGCATTCCACGGGCAGTCCAGTCCAGGAGGGAACAGGGCTCTGTGGTCCCCACCAGGCCTCCATGTATATAAGTGAGAGCAAAAGGAGAGCACAGAATTGCTGCTACTTTAAAGGGTGGGGCTGAGAAACTGACTAAAGAACACCCATTGCCAAGCAGATGGACCCACTGTGTTTAAATGTTTTAAAAATGCAGATAGCCATAGGGTTCAAATTCTCCCTTCCACCCTTTGTTAAAACAAGAGTGCAAGCCAGCTTCCAAAAAGCCACAGAGCTACAGTTTGTTTTTCTGGGGCCCAGCCCAGGCAGCATCAGAGTTGTGGAAAGAAATGGAGTTGCTGCTGATGGCCCCATCTTAGATTGACAGAGCTTCCTGGGCTGTGGGGAGAGCAAACTCAGTAGCCATCAGAATTGGGTTACCAAAGCCAGGGCCAGAAGGTGGGCCGGTAGCAAGGACTGGAAGATCCAGATGGCAGCAGGGAGGTAGTCTGGGAAGCTTATTACCTTTCTAGCTAGTCATTTGTGTAATAGAGACCAGCATCTGAGTGAGGAGGAGAGTGTCCACGTTGTACAAGTTGGGATGTGCTTTCCAAGTTCTGGAGGGGTGGAGATCATGTTTTTATTTATTTATTACAGGGCCTCCCTATAGCCCCAGATGGCCTCGAAGTCACTGTGTAGACCAGGCTGGCCTCTGAACTCACAGAGATCCTCCTGCCTCTGCCTCCCAAGTGCTGCGATTAAAGGCATACATGCACCACCATGCCTAGCTTTTATTTGTTTGTTTTTAAGACTTGTTCTCACTGTGTAGTGAACTGAACTACATAGTTCTGAACTATGTAGTTCAGGTTGGTCTGGAAATTGTGGTGCAGCTCAGGCTGCCCATAAACTCTCAGTCCTCCTGTCTGTACCTCCGAAGTGCTGAAAACCACCCTTCTTGTTGCTTTAAACCATGTTCCCTCTAATTGCTTTTCAACTTTGCCAGAAATGTGAAAGTAACTGACTTTGGGTTGGTTTCCCATCCCCTGCCTTGCTTTCTTTGGAAAAGAAAGATGAGCCAGGAAATCTTTGGCAGGGTCCACCTCAGACTAAGTGCCTCTTAACTTACAGGAAAGGCCTTGGAGGGAGAATGCCATTTCCAGCCCTCTTAACTTCTCCTAACTAAATTTGCCTTTGTACTAAGGATTGACATACACACACTGTACAGACACACAAGCACACGCTGACCTTGAGCTTTGTCCAGCAAGCTTTCAGTGTGCTGTAACCTGAACCAGTCCCTGTTCCTGCCATAGATGCAAACTAAAGATCCAGCACAGTGGTTGAGACTGCCGAGACCTGCTCAGTATGACTTCATGCATTTATACTTGAATTCGTTACTGTCAGTCATTCAGCAAACCTGCCTGTATTGCAGTAGTCTTAGACTTTAGTGGGCAGCAGAATTTCTGGAGGGCTTATTAAATAGATTCCCAGGCCCCAGGCCCATCAGATCTGAGGTGCACCTGAGAATTTAAATTCTAGCAAGTTGATGCTATGACCTCTTGTGTTCTAGAAATGGGGTAGGGGTGTAATTCTTATATCCAGGAGTACTCAAGCTAAGAGAAGTGACACAGTGTGCAGCAAGCAGTACAAAAAGTGGAGTGTATGTTCCAGTCTGTTTTACATTCAGAAGGATTTTGCTTTGGCCAGGTAGGATTCTGGCCAGGCTGCATAGAAAGCATAGCATTTGAAGTAGACCTTAAGGGGGAATGGGATTTATATACATACAGAAAGAAGACTACTGTAAGCCAGAGCCCTGTAGGGCTTGCCTCGGGAGAGGAGGGACACGGGGAGCTTTTATGGCTAGCACTCTCCCAGTGGTAGGCACTAAGTAGAGTCTTCTGTACCTTTTCTTTTTATCCAAGAACATCTCCATCAGGTACTCATTTTGTGCCCACGTCTTGGGACTGAGGGTATTAAGAAATGACTTCAGTGGTGGTAGCTGAGAAGTAGTTCAGTTGGCCACACTCCTGTCACTCTCCTTCCAGGGTTCCAAGTGCTAGGCTGGAAAGAGGAAGGAAATAGATCAGAGAGTCTGAAATGGCTTCTATGAATGTTTAATTTCCCTGGAATAGAGCAAAGGAGACCCAAGAAGTCCTCAAAGGCAGAAAGCCTGACACTAGGGCCCCAGTTCTTTCTTTTCTTTTCTTTTTTTGAGGGAGTGGGGAGGTTTGAGACAGGGTTTCCCCGTAGCCATGACTGATCCGGAATTTGCTTTGTAGACCAGACTGGCCTCGATCTCACAAAGATTCGCCTGTCTCTGCCTCCTAGGTCTTGGGAGGTGGAAGGTGTACTCCTGGTTTTGAGTTCTTATCCCAAGGCTCTTTCCATTCTCCAGGCCACATTTTCCAGGGAGAAGTCAAAGCTGGACTTTGTACCCCTGAGATAATTTGGGGGAACTTCACTTAAGTGTAGATTTCCTTGGTTTGGGTTTCAGTGGGAGGAAAAAGGCAGTGGAATTTCCTGAAATGACATGAAAGAGACTGTTAGCCAATCCAGTGAGCACTACCCAGCTAATATTTATTTTCTTGGTTATTTTATTTGATATATGAAATTGTACATATTTATGAGTTACTATGTGATGTTTCAATATGTGTACAAGCTAATTCCCTTTTACTTCTTAGTTTGTCTTAAGATAACTATCGTTGAACTGCTAGTAAGGAAGACCCATGACATGTATTCACTACCCTGAGCAGACTGACCGGCAGGGAGCTAGGGCTTCCTTATTATAAGCCCACAGCTCTTTAGTGGTCTAGGTCCCTGGACAAAGGCAAGTTCATCAGAGTGGGTATCAGCTGACACAGCACCTTGTTCATGGCAGGGGCTCAATAAATAGGAGTTGCCTGATTTTGCCACTGAATTTTGCCAAGAACATAACCTAGAAGCAGACTTTGGGCCTGATCCTAACCCATGTTTTCTATGGAATAGTTTAAGGGGCTATCAAAGGGGGGTTTAAAGGAAATCCTTCCCATCTGTAACAACAGCAGCCATAATAATAATAAGCTAGAAAACATGCCACACATAGGTCCAGCTTGGAGTATTCTCCATATATTAACTCAGCCTCTACTAGGACCAAAGCTGGTAGAGACAGTTATGCCACCCATTTTACAGATGAGAGAAACAAAAACAAAATTATGAAGGTCACTGGTTATGGTGAGCTGGGATTTGAACCTAGTCCATTGCTTCCCTTCCTCTGCAGTCATGGTCACCCTTCTAGGACAGTTAGCTTATCTTTCAGTTGAAATTGCAAGCCTCTGAAATATTCATTTCCCAAATTCAAGGATTTTGTGTAGGAGCAGCAGCAGTGGCCAGGCACTCTGAGCTCCTGAGATCTTTCAGAGCCGAGGGAGTCACCCCCATCATGTGGGGAAAAGGGAGCTAACTTACTACAGTATGCTCTGGCTACTTAATGGGGAATTTCCTGTCAGTTGTGGAGTGGTGTTTTCCAATCTGTTGTGAACTCTAGGGCACATGACTGAGTTCCTACATGGAATTGTGACTGTTTTTAAAAACATGTTTTCCATTTTGCTTATATGACAAATGCTCTACACAGCAAGGACACCACTTGAGGACTGTATCTCTGGTAGGTGTGTATTTTGAGAGCATAGAACGGGGAGGGTCTTATTTTTCTATTTTCATGGGCTTTTGAGTAGACTTTACTATTCAGTTTTTCTTTCTGCCAGGCATGGTCACACACACCTCTAATCCCAGCATTTGGGAGGCTGAGGCATAAGGATTGCCACAAGTTCAAGACTAGCCAGGTCTTGATAGCAACACCCTATCTCAAAAACCTAAAACAACAAAACCAACCTTCTTTGTTTCTGAAGTCTAGTTAGAATATTAAAATTTATCCCAACACCTTAGGGACTAGTCTAATATCTCCCCTCTTTATTTTGGTCTTTTTGAGACGGTCTCCCTGTAGCCCCAGCTGGCCTGGAACTTACTATGTAGGCCAGGTTGGCCTTGAACTCACAGAGATCCACCTGCCTCTGCCTCCCAAGTGCTGGGACTACAGGCGTGCACCACCACTCCTGGCTAATAAAATTATTTTTAAAAGATTCCTGATGAGAGAGGCTGGAGAGATGGCTCAGCAGTTAAGAGCAGTGACTGCTCTTGCAGAGGACCTGTGCTTGATTCCCAGCACCCACAGGGTGGATATGAACCGTTCTTAACTCCAGTTCCAAGGGAACCTGATGCCCTCTTTTGACCTTCACAGCATTACATGACACGGGTGCCCTCACATACATACAGGCAATACACTCATACACATAAAAAAGAGAAGATTCCTGATAGGGGCTGGAGAAATGGCTTAGCACTTAAGAGCATTTTTTGCTCTTGCAGAGGACCTGGGTTCAGTTCCCAGCATCCACATGTAGCTCACAACCACCTGTAACTCCAGTGCCAGGGAATCTAATGCCCTCTTCTGGCCTCCATGGGTACTTGCACTTACATGTACATGCATATACCCCAACACAACATATACATATACTTTAAATTTTGATTGATTAAGCAATTTAGGTGTGGTGGCATATGCCTTTAGTCTCGGCACGCAGGAGACAGAGGCGGGCAGATCTCTGTGAGATCAAGGCCAGCTCATAATTCAAGGCCAGTCTGGGAAATATAGTAAGATCTGTCTCAAACAACATGAAAAGATAAGTGTGGGCCAGTAATAAGATGATTAAATGAGTAATGATGCTTGCCACCAACCCTGATAACCTGAGCTTGATCCCCTGGAACCCACAGTGGAAGGAGAGAATCAACTCCTAAAATTTGTCCTCTGACTTGAACCTACACCCCCCCGACCCTGTGTGTGTGTGTGTGTGTGTGTGTGTGTGAGAGAGAGAGAGAGAGAGAGACAGAGAGAGAGACAGAGATAGAGACAGAGACTGGGCTACATGAGACCCTGTCTCAAAAACAAGGGTTGGAGAAATGCCAGCAATTAAGAGCACTTGCTGCTCTCGCAGAGGACCTGGGTTTGGTTCCCAGTACCCACATGGCAGCTAACAACTGCTAGTAACTCCAGTACTAGAGGATCTGATGCCCGTTTCTGGCCACCTCGGGCACCAGGCACACATGTATACAGACATACATTCCAGCACTAACACATACACATAAATAAGACCAGACTGAGCTGTACATTTTCCTCTTTGTTGGACATGGTAGCTCATGCCTTTAATCCCATCACTTGATAGGCAGAGGCAGGTGAATCTCTGTGAGATTGTGGCCAACCTGGTCTACATAGCAAGGTCCAGGCTAGCCGGCACTACAGAGAAACCCCATCTAAAAAGAACAAAAAGAAAATTGAAATTATACTTTAATTTTACATATCAAAAATAATTTCTATGAAAATGACCCATAGAAATAATCTTTTTAAAGTCGATATAAGCCAGGCATGGTGGCTCATGCCTTTAATCCCAGTACTTGGGAAGCAGAGGCAGGCGGATCTTTGTGAGTTCAAGACTAGCCTGATCTACATAGTGATCCAGGCCCCATGTGGCCTGTCTCAAAAAGACCAAAAAATTTTTACAAATACAAGTTGATACAATTTCAAGCCAGGCGTGGTGGTGTATGCTTTTACTCCTAGCACTCATGAGGCAGAGACAGGTGGATTGCTGTGAGTTTAAGGCCAATCTGGTCTACATAGTGAGTTCCAGGTCCGCTGGGGCTACAGGGAGACCCTGTCTCAAAAAGAACCCCCTCCCAACGAAAAAAAAGCTGATATAATTTCATTATATGACTATATTCCCAGAGGAATTACAAAACCTATATAGAAGGACTGGGGATGTAGTTCAGGTGGTTGAGCGCTTGCTAGTATGGACAAGGCCCTGGGTTCTATCCTCTTCCCTACAATAAACCAGGTATAGGCCTGTAATCCTGGCATTGGGGAAGTGGAAGGAGGCATCATCCTCAACTCTGCATCTAGTTTGAGGCCAATCTGTGCTACATGAGACACTTTTGTTTTTTTAAGAATTTGTTGGGGCTGGTGGGATGACTCAGCAGGTATAAAAGCTTGCTATGTAAGCTTGACAGTCTGAATTCTATCCCTAGACCCCACATGATAGAAGGAGAGAACCAACTCCCAAAAGTTGTCCTCTTACTTCCATATACACACCATGGCACACTCGAACTCATAATTTTTTTTAGTGTTTGGGAATTCATACATGCATACAATGTTGTGGTTAAATTCATCCACACACAATTATTTATTTGTTTTGGGATTTTTTTTTTTTGCTTTTTTGAGATAGGGTCTCTGTAGCCCCAGCTGGCCTGGAACTCCCTATGTAGACCAGGATGACCTGAATCTCACAGAGCTCTGCCTTGCCTCTGCCTCCTGAGTGCTGGAACTAAGGGTATACACCACCATGACTAGCTTACAATAATTGTTTTAGGGAATTAATTTATTGAATAAAAAAGTTAAAAACCAGTAAAAATAAGATTAGTCACAGGCAGTTTTAAAATTGAATTTGTTCTAGTTTCATAATTTAAAAAAAAAAAGTACATGGTGGCACATGCCTTTAATACAGCACTCCAGAAACAGAGGCAGGCAGATTTCTCTGAATTGGAGGCCAGCCTGGTCTATGTACATAGCAAGTTCCAGGCAACCTAGAGCTGCATAGTGAGACCCTGTCTCAAAGGGGGGAAAAAAATCATCATTGAGCTGGGCATGGTGGCACACGCCTTTAATTTCAACACTCCAGAGGCAGAGAGGCAGGTGGATCTCTGTGAGTTCAAGACCAGCCTGGTCTACATAGTGAGACTGTGTCTCAAAAAATAAAAATAAAAAAGTCACTTTTATGCTTTTCTTCTGTCTTCCCCTATATGTGTCTGTATATATTTAAACAAAATTGTTAACTTTAAAAAAATATTTAAAAGTCGTTTCTACCTACATTTCAAATCAAGGAGGTGTTCTTATATTGGGGTTTGCTGAGACATTGGGAAATGGGAGAGTTATGGACCTTTTTCTGTCCACATGCCGTGGAGTAGGGAAGAAGTAGGGGGAGGCTGCTAATGACCCTTGGTCTGCAGAAGCCAAAGGGACGGAGAAGTCCACTGGAGGCAGTGGGAGGTGGAATAGTACCAGATTAGAGACTGCAGGAAGTCATTTACACTCTCTAGGGAAGAGATGGGCCTGAGGCAATTAAAACTTTTCCACCTCTGACTTTAATGAGTCTTGTATTTCAGGAGCTTACATGTAGGGAAAAGCCATCATCTTTTTAGTTATATCAGGAGACCCCTAAGAACTCTTGTAAGATAGGCCACTCTGAAGTCTCTTACAATCACTAATCTTTTAGGTTGGGTGGGAAGGAGAAGGCTGGATATCAAGATAGTCTAAAGCATTTTCTCCATGATCTCTTTAGAGAGGAAGAGGATACTATTCTAAAAGGTGAGAATATTAATGACCACCAAATCTAAAACATAGGACCAGTCAGAGAGATGTCCTGGCCTTCTCCCCCCACCAAGGTCTCTGGAGGTACCCCAGAATAAATGACCTCTACTGCTGTCATCCACCTCACCTTTCTGCCCTTTTCTGTCCCATGTAGTTTTCACTATAATCCAAACATTTTTGAACATGTGGCTTAAACAGAGGGTAACAAGGTGAAGTCTGTGTCTGCTTCTGCCATGAGGCCATTTACTGTTCAAGACCTTGTTTGAGAGCTGCCCCATTTGGCTAGTTCTCACTGTGTATGTGTCCTTCTCTATCTTCCCTCTCCAATTCCCAGGGTTCTGGCTGGTGTGGACCATCATCATTATCCTGAGCTGCTGCTGCGTCTGCCATCACCGCCGAGCCAAGCACCGCCTTCAGGCCCAGCAGCGGCAACATGAAATCAACCTGATTGCCTACCGGGAAGCCCACAATTACTCAGCGCTGCCATTTTACTTCAGTAAGTACACAAAAAGCTGCCACACCCCATCCTCAGGGGCTTAGGTACATAGAGCCAGGGTCCAAGCGGTTCATCAATGGCCAGGACCCCTGGGGAGGGTTGCTCCCATTGCCCAAGTATGGGAACTCACACAGAGGATCAGGCTACCTGTGTGGATCCGCAAGGCCTCAGGGCCTTCCCAAGCTCCCAATAGCTGGGTTCTTCCAGGTCTTTGCTCCTTTAGCAGCTCTGTCTGTCTGTCTGTCTGTCTGGGTTCTTCCAGGTTTCTGCTCCTTTAGCAGCTCTTTCTATCCATTCGTCTGTCCATCCAATTGGCTATTGTCTTTCTCCCTCCCTCCCTCTCTCTCCCTCCCTCCCTCCCTTCATTTTATTAAAATAGTTGAGGCTGGCCTCAAACTCCCTATGTAGCTGAAGATGGTCTTGAACTAGATTTTTTTTTTTTTTTAAAGACAGATAGCCTAGTAGAGTATTGTGTGAGTGACTTGGGATTTAGCATTCAGCCACCAGAGATCCCCCTATTGGTTTGCTGCCATATGCTGTGCCTCGTAGAGGTTTTGTGAAAGGGCCCATATCAGGATGGTATTGAGAATTTCTAAGAACCAAGAAACTTGGTGACTTAACTGAAGTCCTTATACTAGAATTCCCTGTACTGTCCTCTCACTTGGTCCATGGATGGCTCAACAAGGCAGCTTGGCCCAAGCCATCTGCCACATTCTACAAATAAAAGGGTCACAAATGTTTGGACTTTCCCAGCTAGAATGGTTAATTGCTTAGCATTTGGTAAATGCTCCATAAATGCTGGCAATTACTATTGTGTTTCAGTGAGATCATCTGTACCTTAAGGCACTCAACTGTTCAAAATCTTCATAACTCACCTGGTGTGTTTCTAAGGAGCCTTGGATGACACAGGCCCCTCATTCACCCTCTACTGGTAACCCACCCACTCCTGATCTGAGTCAAGATGAAGTCTGTTTTGTCTTTCCAGACCATCTTCAACACCTAGAGTGAGAGAGACAATACAGATTTCTAACCTTCAGAAAAAGCCCCTGTACATGAGCTATCTGTAAGGGTAGGGGAAAAAAAGAAGCAGTCAGGAAGTCTAATATTAGGGTCCCTGACTGAGGCCCAGGGACAGATTGAGGATACAGATGAGCAAGAAATGTGAAGCTCATGGGCCCATGGAAACAGATCCATTCCAGGCAGAAACTTTCTCAGTGGGTTGACTGAATTTGCCTCAGCTGGTGCCTTAACCCCAGGTAGGCAGGAAGTCCTTGCTTATGCAGCAGTGTTAGGGACCCTCAGATGTCAGAGAGCACAATCAGGCCACACCCAAACTGCTCCTCTTCCTCTGTGCAGTTGCAACCCTCTCCCCTGCCCACAGCCAAGAGCCATAGATGCCACTTGATGGCCCTGCTGTAGGGGTAGGAAGGGACAACACATATGCTTAGTGTGAGTGTTGCAGGCTTCCCGAGGACTATGGCCAGTGCAGTAATTTCTCCTCTCTTCCTCCCCGTTTTAGGGTTTTTGCCAAACTATTTACTACCTCCTTATGAGGAAGTGGTGAACCGACCTCCAACTCCTCCCCCACCATACAGTGCCTTCCAGCTACAACAGCAGCAGCTGCCTCCTCAGTGTGGCCCTGCAGGTGGCAGCCCGCAGGGCGCTGATCCTCCCCGGGGCTCCCAGGGGGCACAGAGCAGCCCCTTGTCTGGATCAAGCCGAAGCAGTACAAGACCTCCGAGCATCGCTGACCCTCAGCCCTCTGACATGTTAGCTGACCAAGCAGCCACCAAAGTCCTTGGAATGGAGCCCAGTGGCTCAGTGGCTGGCCTTGGGGAGCTGGACTCACCGGCCTTCCTGGACAGGGATTTGGAATGTAAAGAGGAGCTGCTGAAAGATTCCAGCTCAGAGCATGGCAGCGCACTCTCCGACAGCAAAGACAAGACGCCAAGCAGACATCGCCGGTTCACAGGCGACTCAGGCATTGAGGTATGTGTATGCAATCGGGGCCACCATGACGACGATCTCAAAGAGTTCAACACACTCATCGATGATGCTCTGGATGGGCCCCTAGACTTCTGTGACAGCTGTCACGTGCGGCCTCCTGTTGATGAAGAGGAAGGGCTCTGCCTGCCTTCTGAGGAGCATACTCAAGAGCCTGGCCACCCCCACCTGCCCCGGCTGCCTGCGTGCCTGCTGCTGAATACCATCAATGAACAGGACTCACCAAACTCGCAGAGCAGCAGCTCTGCCAGCTAGAGCAGGCCCTGCCTGCACCCAAGAACTTGACAAGCAACCAGGGTAGGGGAGACCTACGAGAGAAGCATTAAGTGACTTTCAGAAGTGGAACAGCCACTTTGTCATTTTCCCCCCTACTCTCCTGCATTTCCCATGTCTCCAGGTACAAATTCAGGGCGTACCTCCTCTCCCCCACAAAAGCACAGTGTTGTAGAAGACTGAGAATCCAGTTCTGTGACTCATTCCTCATCCCCTTTTCAAAGTTGTATCTCACCTATCTGCTTGGCTCAGAGATGTGTATGCCCCGAGATGGTTCTCAGTGATGGAGTGGATTTATGCTCTGAGTGTTAAGAGAACTTCACTGTATCTCTGTCTGGGAAAGGTGGTTTAACTTGGCCCTGAGTGAAGAAGGAAACCCTCAGAGGCCTGGGGTTGGCACCTCTGGCTGCCAGTGTCTGCAGAACTGGCATTGGGCTAATTCAGTGGGAGGGTGAGGCATTGGACAGGTTGGTAGGGGACTTGTTGATCTCTCGAATTCCAGGAGAAAAGTACGGCCCTGTCTGTGGTAGAGGGGCCCCTGCCCAGCTGGCTCTGGCTGGCTGGTTCAGGTGTAGAAGATTATGCTGTGTTCTCTTTGTGTTTTCTTTAAAAAACAAGTAACAAAAGCCAGCTACAAACAGGCAAGACTTCTTTTCTGAATAAGGGAAGTCTGAGAGTGTCCCCCAAGTTGGGCTTCAAAGATCCTGGCTACCATTGAACCAGGAGGAGAGAGTGTGAATGGGCTTGGGTGGTGGTAGCTCTGGACCTATGAGCAGGAGGCCCTAAGCCTGACAGTGGGCAGAGGTATAGCTTCTTCCACTTCTGCCCTTTGTCTATTCCTATAGATGAGCAATGGTCCCCTTGTTCATCCTGAGCAGTCTGCAGGTTCTGTCTCTCCCTGTCCTCTGTGAACAGATGAACTGAGGAACCTGTGGGTCCTGAATGAGGCAGCCCTATAGCCCTGGCTCAAACACAGTGTTTCCTCTCTGAGTTTCAATAAGTCTATTGTTTATGTGTTTGTTTGTTTTAAACTTGACCACTTGGAAGAAATACCTTGGTTATCTGTGGTTCTCATGGCCTGCCCCTACCCCTAGCCCATCGGAGTCAGGTGACTCGCTTTCCTGAAGCCTGTGTGAAGAGTCTTGGGGGCCTGGGAGAGAGGTGATAGACACCCCCTGCGTGACTGCAAGATCCTCGTTACTGTAGTTTGGCTTAGGAGAACCAGTCATGCTTTGATAGGAAAACTCTAAAAGGAGCATGTAAGCTGCCACAATGAACATTCCCCATCCAGCCCTGCTCATATGAAGAGTTTGGGTTCCTTCCCTACTCTTGAACGATGATATTTATTCAGACTAGGCATTGACATTATGATAAGAAAAAAGGAAATACACACACACACACACACACACACACACACACACACACACCACACACACACACACACACACGAAAGAAAGATCCAAGGGTATAAGGTGAGCGAATATCTGTGTTTGGATGCCACAAACCAAAACCCTTGTCGAACAAAAGTGAAGTCTATACACAGTGACTTCGGATGGTGTGTGTGTGTGTGTGTGTGTGTGTGTGTGTGTGCGCGTGTGTGTGTTGTATGTGGCCCTAAGCCCTGTATTCCCGTGAAGATACTTTGAATGGCAGCCAGCCTGCTCACATTAACCACATGTCTGGAGCACATATGGCTCTCTCAAGGTAATTTATTTTACGCATTTACTGTTTACCGAACAAATGTCTGACTGTCCTCGGTGTATTCAGCAGCCTCGTTTGTGTTTGCCAGCGGCGCTGCTCCAGGGAGGTTTCTTACTTAGCTCATCACTGCAATTTGCACATTGCTCCATGGACACTCAGAGACCTGCATTCTGTTCCCTGTATGTGGAAACATGCTCCGAACCTGTCTGCCTCCCTCTGCTTTCAGACAGAAGCTTGACTGAGTCTTCGGTGACAAGCTTGGACTGGTTGTGGCCCAGACATCGACCTGCCCAGGATTGCAGGAGTCTCTGTCAGATGTGTTGGTGTCACAAGCACGCACCTCCTCCCTCAGGTCCAGCAGGTTGGTGAGTGGCCAGAGGGGCCCAAGTGCTACAGCACCCCTCATGCATCACTCCTGCCACCTCCTTCAAATCCCCAACAACTCACTGAAGTGTCTCAGAGGAGAACAAGATGTACCAAAACAAATTCCTCTCTGGTTAATTGAGCAAATGAATGAGGTGGGACCCTCTCAAGTTTCTTTCCCCAGGTAGAATGGGGACTGGCCTGAGTGTTGACTGACTTCACTGAAGCTCCCACCATGATGGCCAAGCCACAGTCTGGCCCCTGTTGCTCAGAGAGAGGGCAGGAAATAGGGAGAGTTGGGGCCAGGGATACTTGACTGAGTTGGGGTTTCCAGGTGAACAGGAAGGAAGGGGTTGGCTGAGGGTTTGGTGCTACGGTCAGAAGATCTGCAGATGTTAACACATTCCTGTGTGAGGCATATCACCGTTTGTCAGTTATTGTGAATATGTGTATTTTAAGCAATAAGATTCAGCTGGTCAGACTTTTCTGGGCAGTCTCGGTGACGCATTTCCTGTGCTGTGATTGTTCTGAAGACAGAGTGGCTTTAACCACTGTGAGAAGCCCAAATAAAAATCAGTCCCAAACATCCTACTGCACTTTTTTCTTGCAGCACTTTGTTCCTTTTTCTTCCTTTTCAGACTTCGGGGAGTTGTGTGTCAGGATCTCAAACCACACATACTTTTCTCTTGTCCACAGCGAACTGTGTCACATAGCAGTTGGGTCAAATAGGAACCACAGTGCTAAAGGCAGGCTGGGCACTGGGACTGAGTCTATATTTTGTCCTGGGGAATTTTCCTTCAAATTGGGTTTCTAATGTCCAGAATACTTTGTGATAGTCCATAAATAAGTTAAAGTCAGACCTCCAAAAGCAGAAACAAGTTTTGTCAGCTACTCCAAAGCTGAAATGTGATGTTGTGAGGTCTTTGCCGAAAGGACAGATATGTAGGTCGGTGCTTGGCCTTGGATTTTGGTTGGTTGGTTTGGGATCTCACTCTAGCCCAGGCTCATGGCAGTCCTGCTTCAGCTTCCTGAATGCTGGGATTCCAGGGGCTAGCCACCATGCTCAGCCTTGAAGTTTAATATATACACTATGTATTGAGTTGCCTGCACTGTGCTGGATGCTAAGGAAATGTGAAGTCAGCCAAGTACCCTGCTGTTATAAGTGGATGGCAAAACATACCTGTGCGAAATGGCAAGGAAATGCCTTAGGTAGGTTGAGATGTGAGTGGCCCAGGTTCAGAGACTCTCCAGTAGGGGGAGGTGGTTTGAGGTCTTCACTGCCACGCAGGAGGTGGGGTATCAGAACCTATTTTTCAGTAGAAGAAGCCCTACTGTGTCAGTGTCTGCCACTATGGGCCAGTGATGGCTTTGCTCATTTTAACCCTCTGCTTAATACTCCTTTTAGAACTTTGGGTCAGGTATAAGCCCCTAAGCTTGCAACCTCTGCTGGGAAGGACACCCTTGGCCAGCACTTCCCTTCAGGCAACTTGGGAGTGGCAGTGCAAGATGATGCATAGGCTAGCTGCTCTTCCAGAATGGATTCCTGCTTCCTATGTAGAGTATTCACTGTGGGTCAAGTCCCTGGGCACTGGCAGTGAGTATTGTCCTCCTTAGCGTCAGCCCCATTGTTTTTGAGAGTCCAGAGTTATCCACACATAGCCCCGTCCCTGTCATTGACCCTAGGCCAAAGGATACTGTCCTCTGTAACCCTACTGAGATAGTCGCCGCTTCCTTCTAAGCTGTTAGGCTCCTCAAGGCAACCCTGGTGAAGCTGTATTATCATTAAGGATAGTTGTCTAAAACCACAGGAAACTGGACATGGTGGCATATGCCTGTAATCTCAGTGCTCAGAAGGTAGAGGCAGGAGGTTCATGATTTTTGAGGCCTGCCCTGGATACATAGGGAGTTCTAAGCCAACCTAAGCTAGTAAGACACCATTTCAAAAAAAAAAAAAATGAAAACCCACAGGAAAGAACTGGAGGTGTATACCATTCCTGCATTTTTAAAGTTAATATCTGAATGACCCCAAAACAAAATGGCTCAACTCTTCCAGGCCGGTTGCCAGACACTGTGTACACTGATTCCTAAGCTCCTGGATCACTGGGTCATGGGGTTCCCCATTTTTCTAATGAGGTATGAAGATTGTCTTTTTTTTCCTCAGGTGACCGAGTTGAAGTTGGAATTGTATTTGTCCCCAAACCCAAGACAAAGTGGTTCAAGATAGTCTAGTTTTCCAAATCCCCCTTTTCAGCCAGAGCAAAAACCAAAAACCGGAGTTTAACCCCGGAGAAAAGGGAAGTAATCTTGGCTGAGTGCTGGCTAGCTACTTGCGGAACTTGATGGGAAGGACTAAGGACTGGGAGGTATTTGGATTTCAGGTTCCAGCCTGGGAGCAAGTAACTGACCATTAAAGTGTTGGACCTTTCTTAACAAGGAATGGTGGTCCAGCCTATAATCCCAGCACTTGGGAGGTGAAGGCAGAAAGATCTGGAATTCAAGGTCATCCTCAGCTACACATTGAGTTTGAGGCCATCCTATCCTCTGTGAGATACTGTCTCAAAATTAAACAGACTGCTGAGCCTTTATTGAGCACCCATCTCATGCTAGCCATTGGGAATGAATGCAAAGATGACGGAGACACAGGTCCTCTTCAGGATTGCTGATAGTGGTCTGGAGGGGAAGGAAACATATCAACAGTGGTAGTAGAACTGGGGGCTTAAGGCAGGCTTCCTGGCAATAGTGACTCCATGCTTGTCAGGGGAAGAAAGTCACAAAGGGAATGCTAGGCACATGTTGGTCCTACAGATTACTGAGTGCTTTCTACTGTGTACCAGGTGCTGAAAAGCACAAAACAGCCAGGGAGGCCAGACAGGAGATGGCATATGCATGTGGTGTGGAAAGCAGTAAGCAATTTAATCCTCCTAGGTATCACGTGCGCATTCTTGGAGGCGAGCGAGATGAAGCTGGAAAGGCAAGTGGCTAATAAACATTTGAATCAAATTGTGCTTTGTTATTTATTGGCTGTTGACATAATGTGGGTCTTGTCTAAGCATATTAGTAGCTACATTTTCTTATTTTAACCTCAAAACAGCTCTCCAAGGTATAGATTGTAATTATTCCTGCTCTATCAGTGGTAAAGAGATGGAGACATTCAGAGGAAGGGACTAACTTGTCAAGATCACACAGCTGATAAATAGCAGAGTCAGGATTTAAAGCCAGATCTTTTGATCCCAACAGCCATGAAGTTAACCAGCAGGACAGTGAAGACCTGAAATGAGCTCAGAAGCCCTGCAAAGAGCTGGTGACCTCTCAGGTGAGAGGAAACTAGAGGGTACTGTTGAGTGAAGAGTGGAGAAGGATGAGACAGGTGACATTCTCTCAAGAGCTGCTCTGTCTCCCCTCACTGCCTGCCTACCCAGACCCTACATCCTCCAAGGTCCCCTTAGAACTGGAATGGCCTCACCCTGGGAATAAGCAATGCCTGCCATTAGTCTTCAAGACAAAGTTAACTTCCACAAGAAGTCTATAACCCTTGGAAATGGTCAAGATCTTAGGAATTAAAATTAGATGCTTTTGCGAAGGGTGCTATCTTTTCCTTGAAGGACTGGTGTTCTTTCTCAGAGATGGTAAAAATAGAACTTTCCAGGTGGATCTCTGTGAGTTCAAGGCCAGCCTGGTCTACATAATGAGTTCCAGGCTAGCTGGAGCTACAGAGAGACCCTGTCTCAAAAAAGATTAAAAAAAAAAATAGAACTTTCAATATTGGTGAGGGTGGGCATATTTCTGTTTGATAGGAAATTTCTTACCATGAGCCTGTTCCTCACCCAAACTTCAGATTTTTACTATTTCATGTTTTTGAACCAAGACTCAAGCAACCAAATCCCACTGGAAAATGTTATGAAACACCTTCTGTGGGCGCCTCAGAGAATCTGTCCTTGGCACTCTACCCATGTCTCGCCTGTCAGCTTCACCTGGCTCCTAGGCGGGCCAAGGATTTCAGGTGGGTTCTGAGAGTCTCTACCCTGCATAACCAATTTCTGGAAAGTTTGTGTAAAACCCTCAGGGAAAGACTTCATTTGTAGAAGAATCAATAAGGCCAATGTTCACTGAGACACTAAATATGTTGCATAGTCAAACTCAGAGCAAGACTGAGGTTGGAACTATTTCTACTCTCATCTCAGCCCCCCATATTGCATCCATATATTACAAATGGGCACATTGGGGTTTAAGAAGACCAAATAAGCCATCCACCAGGAGGTTTTTTTTCATAGGCTGGCCTTGTCACATACCGAAGGACTTTCTTGTTCATACAGCCCTTTATGCTTCATCCTTACCAGAGCTTCAGAATGAACAGCTCTGGTGGAAAGTAACACCACTTTACATGAGGAAATTGAGGTTCAAGGAACTGGCACTGGGTGTAGGATCCAGAATTGTGGATGGGAGACGAGGGGCTAGCACCTGGGTGTTCCAGGTCTTCCTCACCCAGTGTCCTCCTGCCCTCTCTGCTGCCTCTGATTGGTTCCCTGCCATTCACCGGTGGGCAACTATCTGCATGTGACTATAGAGAGAGTTCCCCTTGCTTCAGGTTTTATGTTCACTAGAGGCTTATAGAGACAGTCACTCACCAACTACATATCTTTACTGAGGAAGGACTTCCCCCTACTTAAGGCCCCATGGGAGCTGTTTTTCTAAAGGACAGGAATAGTCAAGGTTGGGGGTAGCTGTTTAAATGATAGACATTTTTACCAGGCATGGTGCAAGCCTTTAATCCTAGCACTTGAACAGGCAAGTGGATCTCTGAGATCAAGTCCAGCCTGGTCTACATAGGGAGTTCTAGGCCAAAAAATCCTTGTCTCCTAGTGTTGTTGTAGCTCTCATAAAGTAAACACAATGCATGCATTTCTCCAGTGTTTATGGTGATGCTCCTGAAAACAGACCTGTTTAGGAATACAAATACCATTGAGATACAGTTGCCAATGAATGGTATTCAGCACAGGAGCACGCTATGTAGGCGTGTAGTCTGGCTGTGTAGCTCATCCCATCCACTAGGCTTGTGTTCGTACACTGTATACACACAATGAGGAAACTGCCTAATGATGCGTTTCTCAAGGACATCTCCCCCCTCACACATACATAATGGTGAAGAAAGTATAATGCTACTGAGCATCCCTAACTATAGTCATCACATTGATACTATAGGTATGCACTGTAACAGGGGAGTCCCACAGGAACTTGTTAAACCTTTACTTACAATTATTCTATTGATCAAGGGCTGTTTGAAGAGAAAAAGATAACAGTAGAGGGGTTGGAGGTATAGCTCAGTGGTAGAAGACACACCAGACATGCATGAAGCCCTGGGGTATGATCCCCAACACTGAAGAAGGAGGAGGAGGAGGAGGAGGAACGGGGGGAAGAGGGGAAGGGCGAGGGAAGCAAGGCATGATGGTGCTATAAGCCCGGCAACCTGGAAGTAGAGGCAGGAGGATCAGTAGTTTAAGGTCATCTTCTGTTACATAGAGAATTATAGGCCACCCTGGGCTATATGAGACTGTCTCAAAACAAATAATGAAAAACCAAAAGTGGGCACTGGGCCTAAGTTTCAGGGCCAAGACTCCATTCCATTTCAGTAATTTAGGGCATTTGATTGAGCCCTTTTGTATGTCTAATATTTTTTTTTTTTTTTTTTTTTTTTTTTTTTTTTGAAACTTTCGGGCCAAGCATCCCTTCCCTTTCGTTAATTTAGGGCATTTGTTTGGGCCCTTTTGTTTGTTTAAATTTTTTTTTTTTTTTTTTTTTTTTTTGTCTTTTTGAGATAGGGTCTCCCTGTAGCCCCAGCTGGCCTGGAACTTAGCCTGCCTCTGCCTTTGAGTGCTTGGATTAAAGGTGTACACCACCATACCCTGCATGTCTAACCTTTTTATCAGGCAGATATGCAAGAACACAAGAAGGCTTAGCCTTGAACTCAGAGAGGAGGATCATGTTGACCGTGCCCTTGGGAGACACCATGCCTATTCAAGCCCAGGTAGATGTTGAAAGGCTGATAGAGTTCAATACCAAGTTGAGGGCTAACCTGGAGCAATGGGCTAGAAGCATTGTCAAAATTAGGATCAGAGCCTGGGCCCTGGCAACTGTAACAAGCTAGGCTTAGTCACCAATCCTTAATAGACCTCTTAAATAGACCAGTGATAGTGCAGAGCAGAGAGAGCGGCAAATGGTCAGAACTGAGTGAAATCTCTTCCTGGGAGACAAGTTCCTTCTCTGGCCAGCAGCAGTTTTTGCCCCTTTCTTTCTCCCAGCATGAGCTTCCTGGGGAAATTTAAATCTCTTGGGGACCATTGTTGAACAATCTGATAGCCAAAGGGAAGGGTAAAAGTATCTGTTTAGAATATCTTCATTCCTGTCAGGAATTAGGTTACCAGAGTTGAGTAAGTCGGAGGAAAGCATTTACTTTGAACCTCAAGGAAGCTCAAATTTAGTGACACAGGTCAGTGGGGGAAAGGCCTTCCATTCCAGGCAAGAGCACAATTTGGGCAGTGGTCAGAGCTCATAAAATTATGTTCTAAGACACACAGCTTTTCAGAAAGGTGCCCTGCCTGACCATAGATCCTGAAAGCCCCCTGCATGACTCCTGGGGACAGGTAGGAAAACATGGCTGGTTCCTCACTGTGCATCACTGAAGTCATGGGTTCTAGTCCTAGCCCTGCTGCTATATAGTCATGTGACTGGGACAAAATCCCACCGGCACCCCCAAACTGCCCCACAACACTCCTGTTCCCTCCTGTTCAAAATAAGGGTTAATCTCATTTGCCTGCCATTCAGTGCTCTGATTGAATAGTTGGAAATGGTATGTTTTCTGTCTCTGTTACAATCACCCTCTAATTTACTCATCTGCTTATCACTGGTCCACAAAGCATTCTGAGTAGATGTGTAATACTTAGTTCTCCTCTAGCCAGGCCTGACCCCTCTGCTTTGACCTGAGGGTCATACTTGGCTCTCAGCAGCCAGCTGGGGCAAAGCACTCTGGGAGAGGGAAGAGGTAACCTTCAGTTTTACTTCCCTCTTCAGTTTACAGTAGCATCAACATCTCTCCCAGGCTGCTCTCCCAGGGGATCTGGGAATGGGGCCTCTTTAGGCTAAAGGTCAAGGGTCAGTTTCTCCCAGAATGTCTGGGGACTTCTGTCATTTGTGAACTGGCTTGTGTCCAAGGTTTAAAAATGCTGGTTTCAGGCTAGAAAGATGACTCAGTAGGAGTAAAAGCTAGATCCAGTAGTACATGTGTCTGAGAAACAGGAGGTGGAAACAGGA